AATGACGCTGACGTTGCTCAAACCGATATTTCTAGTAAGCTGGTATCAAGAATCAAATTGTGAGAAATTATGAAACTAATATGTTACAAAGTTCGTGTCTACTGCTAGGCACCAAGCCCAAAACTGTGTGCACAAGTATCCTACAGTCTCAATCTTCTGCAAATGAACCTTACATTGGTGCTGCGCATTCCCTCAGACCACCATCTATTGCATCTTAACCTAAAACAGAACTACCATCAACCCCAACCAAAAATGTCATCTGGTGCAGGAGCTATACACCGCCCATCCACCTCACAGTGCCACCTCGAGAAGCTCATACCACCTTTCCGAACCTGCACCACTTACCCATTAACAGCTTCTGAGGTCCTCATCAGGCGCTTGATGCTCAAAAGGGTGCATCGAATTGTGGCAAGTCAATTACTTCTCTCAGCAGCTGACTCACTCTACCTCGTCGAATAGCTTGAAGGATTCAATGACCCGTCCCTCAGCAGCCTCGTGCTCAAACTGTTGAACCGATCCCGTGAGTACTGACGCGAAGCTTTCCTCCAATCTGTGCCCCGCCGCATCATCATTGCAAACTCCTCGTAACTGATCCGTCCATCCTTGTCCAGGTCCACCTCCGACAGAATCGCCTGCACCACGTCCGATTCGCTCGACGACCCCATCAAAGACTCTCCCACCGCTTCCCTCAACTCCTCCACCTCTATGAACCCGCTTTCGTTCACATCGAAAACGTCGAACGCCCTACGTAAGTGGTCGTCGTCGTCTAGACGCTGCAGATGCACTGTCGCTGCCACGAACTCCCCGTAGTCCAGCGTCCGGTTCCCGTCCACGTCCGCTGCCTCCATCAGCATCCGCACTTCGTGTTCCGTCAGTTGAGATCCAATCTCAATCAGCCCCATTTTCAGTTTCTCGAATGTAATAGTGCCCGTGTTGTCGCTGTCCAGCTTCTCGAACATCTCCTTCAACCCGTCGATCTCCTCCCCACCCAGGTGCTCTGCTATTACCTGCAAAGCCCTCTTCTTCAGCTTGTTCATCGCCGAAAACTGCTTCAGCCGTGACCGCACCGTGTCCAGCGGCACGTTCGGGTTTTTCTTCGCGTTCTGCAGCCAGGGATGATCCAACACCTGCTGCGCATTGTACCGAGCTTTCGGATCCGGTTCCAGCATGTGCCTCACTACTGACTTCGCCGACTCCGACACCTTTGGCCATGGATCCCTTTTGAAGTCCAGTATCCCCCGTAGAATCGCCTGCGCCACGCCCTGCTCCGTCTCCGCCCAGAACGGAGGCACCCCGCACAGCAAGATGTACAGGATCACCCCGGCGCTCCACACGTCCACCTCCGGCCCGTAGTTCCTCTTCAGCACTTCGGGTGCCATGTAGTACGGACTGCCCACAATCTCCGAGAACTTCTCCCCTGGCTTGAAGAAGACGGACAGACCGAAGTCGATGGCCTTCAAGGGCGAGTTCTCGTCCTTGTTCGCAAAGAGGAAATTCTCCGGCTTCAGGTCCCGGTGCATCACCCCCTGTCTGTGACACGCTTGAACCACCTCCATGATGGTGCGGGTCACTTGAGCTGCGCCTCGCTCCGTGTAATGCCCTCGTGCAATAATCCGATCGAAGAGCTCCCCTCCTTCGCAAAGCTCCATGACTAGGTGCACGGCGTTGTCATCTTCATATGCACCTTTGAGGGTAACTACGTGAGGATGCTCGGGCAGGTGTTTCATAATTGCAAACTCTCGCCGGACATCCTCCACATCCACAGCAGTCCTGAGCTTCTTCTTTGAAATAGACTTGCATGCAAAAACATCCTGCGTTTCCTTGTCCGTGCATAAATACGTGATTCCAAACTCTCCGCGCCCGAGCTCTCTGCCTAGCACATACTTGTCCAATATTCTTGCCTTCGGCTGATTCTTCAAAATTTGGTTGGTGGACTGAAAACCATCCTGAGGAGCGAATGGATTCGTCCTGCGTTCCTGCCTAGACTTTTTGGTGGAAGACCCTACACAACAATTGCCCATTCTGCCGTTGATTACTATGCAATAAACCTGCCTTGTTCAGCCTCATAAAAAATCAGCTCCAGTTCACCAGACCTTTCCAGTACACCCTCAATCTGTTTTTACAACGCCTTTGCAACCAAATATGTTCGATGCGCCTTCCAAACACCGTTACCCTCGACACTCAGACAGAACGCAAGTTCTCTCAGTGTCCACCACCCTTGCTTCGTCAGTTACACCACACCACTGTACAACATTAACTAATATTTCACAAGCGCTGTGAAGAGCCACTGGAGATTACAGTATCCAAATCCATTACACACAAACCCTATTCGCGTGATTGTATAACGGCTAATCCCTGACAGAACCAAACCACCCACCCACCAGCTAAGCTCTACACGTCCCAAACTGCTGTATTGACGTTTCTAATTTGCGGATGCAACCACGCAGCCTTCTGTACAACGCGATGGTTTTGGAATATCGCATGGGATCGGAACTCGAATTTCACTTAATGCTTTTGACACACAGAATCACCCAAGTTTTGCTATCCCCTTACGCACGATACCTGCAAGGTCATGAACCGTCTTTGCAGATTACTGAGTATTTACGAATTACCTCCAAGGTAGGAAAAAAAAAAAAAAAAAAAAAAAAAAAAACATGCACTCTTAATTCGAATATGACACACGACGCAAACACTTGCTGATCGTCAAACTGTGGTCCTTGGGAGCAAGACATAAACAATATGTCCGATGCCGGTCTGCACTGCCATCAGCAACCACTACCAATGACACCTGCGTCAGCACCAATCCAGTAGCAGGTAGAGTTGGAACTTAAAAAGCTGTGATCTCCTGTACTCTGGGCATACAAACAACGAGAGTTTAGTTACAAACTATTCGAGCAAACATAATCTGACCGAGGTATTCTGTGCAGAGAAATCCCATCTACGATATGAGCAAGGCTAACTACTTCAAGCACGACTACCCACGACTATACAATTAGCAGGATAATCCGTTTAATTTCATCTCTGCATTCTAGGGGATGTTCATTTATCTTCATTCGGTCGCACCCGCATCTTACTTCCAGAGATAACATCCGTCATTAAAGAAACCAGTGGCCAACTTATCACTACACATGTCTAACAGTAGCAATGCGTGTATGCTAGGATGTGATGGGCTGCCTACTCCAACTAGGCAAGAAAACAAAGAAGCAAATTGTTCAGATCACCAACTACTGACACTGTACACCGAAAACAAGAATCTAAGCCCCCACCTGCAGAAATCTGCCGGAAGACGTCGCCATTGACGAGGAAATTCCACAATCTGAGAAGGAATTATCAACAGCAGAGTGTGCGGATTCATCAAGAACGAGGAAATCTGCTAGACAGTACCCAAGAGGTCTATGTTCCATTGTGCAGCGATTCTACACGTGAAGCCTTACAAAGGATCATACCTCATCCAAGAAACTCTCATAATGGGAAGGTCCCGCGTGATGCCTCAACAAACGCACTAATGGATTCTCCGAGAGACTACCTGTCAAAAACAGCAATCAGAAACTGCACAATGCACTAGAAAAGACAAACTCCACAACGACTGAACGCCAGGAGCCTCGACTAAACACCGTCAAACACGAACCCTCTCTCAGCTCCGCGCGACTCGATCCTCAGTATTCCCGTGATCACATCCCCACAACACAAACCTCATCACTGAGTCGCTCCACTCAACTCGGATAACCCGCGCGAGAACTCCAAAAACATTGCAATACCACATACGTAGCACCCTCACTCTCGGCCCTCATCCAAGACACATGAACCTTGAGTTTCGTCCTCATCTCATCTTTCAACGTCTCAAAACAGCCATAAACCCCCCGGCCCTTGTCATTACCACGCGTGGGGAGATCAAACACACGAGAAAAGAAACTGGCGAAGCCCCTTTCTCTGCATCGAAATTCCTGGAATTTGCAACCAAAAGAAAAAGGGAGGAAAAAAAAATTAAAATTAACCTGGAAAAGCAGGCGCACTAACTGATGCCACATGGTGCAGTCCCGTAGCATTTAAAGACATCATTCAAGGCCGTTCACTAAACGAGTTTGAGTGATGCAGCACAGTTGGAGGATAGCGCTCACGCGCGGAGGAGCCTAGGTCTAGCTCCCTGTGCCTCTCCGCGTCATTCCGTTGCCTTCATAGAACCTCGACACCCATATTCATATCCCGTGAATTTGTGGGTGGTGAAATTCGGAGTATTCTACACCTACAACAACGACGTCGTAAGCTAATTTTGCAAACAAACTAGAGAAATTGCTGCCTCGAAAGTGTGGGAGGATAAATTTGGGGGAATGGAACAAGCAGTTGCGAGATTAGGGCACGGAATTAGGGGACGGGCTTCGTTGCGTGAGCGGAGAGTGCTCATTAATGCCCCCGTTCAGACAGACTCTCAGCCTCCCAGACTTTATGGGTTGCATAACAGGAATGCATTCTTTTGCTGGGCTTTAATGTCATGTTTAATTGTATTGCACTGAGCTTCGGTGCATGTGTCAAGATGATGTAGTGGAGTACCTGACACAAATTCTGAAGAGTGATGGTTTATGACCAAACACTTTTCAAATTTTTTTAATGTAGTTTAAGATATGCATAAATGAGCAAACGAATTCTCATGGACATATTAGAAGATATATACATACATGGTGTGATTTTTTTAATCATAAATTCAGTGTGGTTTTAATTTTGTGTAAAGACATCAAAACTAAACTATACTTGTGTGTCTATTTGTCTATGAATGATAGGAAAAATAAAACAAAACAAAACAAAACAAAATTGTGAACATTGTTGCATTTTATTTGTCTTATGTTTGTTTTTTCTCATGGTTTGGGTTTAACAATACAATTGGTCTACATGGGTCTTTATAATGTCTCCGAATCTGACCACAACTAGCCAAAATTTCAACAGTACTATGTTTAGCAATAGTTACATATTTATATTTAATGGTAATAATTTATTTTTAAATTCCAATTAAAATAATTAGGTTTTACCAAAACTTGTCACATTGTATGAAAAAATTGACTTGTAGATAGAAAAAAATAGAGATATACTAATATAAAATCATTTGAACACAAAAGAAATTAAACTATTCATTAGTTGCATGGTACCTATTTGTGTTAGGTTATATAGTAAACAAGACTTATGCAATTGATAATCAAATTCTTCAAATGAACTTCTAATTGAAGTTAATTTTTTTCTTTCTTTTTATATACATATTATCATTATTTTTTCTTGATCACAATTTTATAAATAAATAAATAAATAAATAATAAAAAAAATATCATATATATCCTTGAGATATGTTGAAATATCAAGAATATCCATGTATTCTTGATAATAGAAAAAAATACCCCTCACTTTTGTGATAATTGTAAATCTACCCTTGAGCTTGATAAAGTATAATCTTATTCCTATTTTAAGTGAATCCAGGATCCAAATTGCATGTTGCACATATTTTGGCATGGTATTATGTGGTAACATGACTATATGGTAAAAAATAAAAATAAAATAGATGTTATTATAGAAGACCCTAGTAGAAAGATGTAATAGAAAAACAATGATAAATTATAGAAAGGTAGTAAAAATTTTAGTCTTAATGCTATCTTTTGTAGAAGGGACTTCTATTTACTTTGTAGAAGCATAAATGAGCCAAATCAAAGTAAATTAGATAAAAAATTGATATAGACATATTTAAAAGAGAGTTAAAATAGATTAAAGCAAAATTTACTTCAAATTACTGAAAAATTGATACTTGGAGAGGACCGGTTGCCAACTTGGGTCAAAATCACACCCCAAGACACAAAACCATGTACCTATGGCAACTCCGAAGTTCTTTTGCAAACTGAAGAATGAGATTTGAGAGAAGACTTTATAGGGTTTTTTTGAGCATTGGTTTTGGGCAATTTGAGTTTGTAATGACTTTGTAAGAGCTTTGCAACATTATGACTATTTTTAATAAATCTGAATTTTAAAATTTTAAAAATGATTTATATTTAAAAAAAATGATGAGTTTAGTAGTAGATCTATGGATGATAATTTGTGGATTTATAATTACAATTATTTTTATTGCACGTTATAAATTTGAGCATAATCAAATAGTTAGATTGAAGATTATTGAAGCTCAAGTGGGTTGGGGTCTTGAAAATGGGATTTTGAAGGTTAATGAGGGTTTCTAAGATCTTTAGCAATTTGCTAGTTGGATTGAGAAGAAATATGTGTGTGTAGGTGTTAGACTTGATTTCTAAAAAATATGTGAATTTTAAGAGGCACTTAACAATGAAATTAAGAGATTTTGGCTTAAGGAGATCAATATGAAGATTGAAGAAGGAGGCTTGCTAATATCCAAGCAGATTTTAGGATTTATCATCTATTTGTTATTTTCAATCTTCTTCAAAAAATTTGTGCTTGTTTTCAACTTAGTTATTACAAGGTGTACAAAGTTTAAGTCAAAATCAATGATTCAATCATTTTTTATTGAATTTCTAATTTCCTATAAGATTGTTAAGAGTTTTATTTAAGATTTAAGTTTTAATTAAGGATTGATTAGGGTTGGTTTAGATTCTAAGATTTGGTTAGGATTTAGGATTTTGTTTGTATTTTTTAGGATTTAACTAGAATTTGATTAGGATTTGATTAAAAGTTGATTAGATTTTGATTAAGAGTTGATTAAAATTTGATTAAAAGTTGATTATAGTTTGTATAGGATTTGTCTAGGATTTCATTATGATTCATTAGAGTTGGTCTAGGATTTAGGATTTTATTAGGATTTGACCTAAAAAGTGATTAAGGTCCATTAGGATTTTAATTAGGATTTGATTTAAGGTTTGATTAAGATTCATCAAGGTTTTAATTAGGATTAAATTAATATTTTATTAGAATTTATTTAAAATTTATCTAATTTTTTATTTATAGTAATTTTAAATGATTTCTTTTATTTCTTTAAAATTTTATATTTCTAGTATTTTTTTAAAATTATTATTATTATTTCTTTAAAAGTTTATTTTTATATTTCTTTTAAATTTCTTGTTATTTTTTTTTTTGAAATTAATTTAGGACTTCTTTTTGTTTCTTTTGTAACTTCTTTTAAATTTATTTTAGATTGATTAAAATTTTATTAGAATTATTAAGGTTTATTTAAAGTTTATTTAAGATTCTATTAGACTTTGTAGGATTGTTATTGCATTTCTACTTACCTTCTATAACTAGGTGTCTAGTGCATTCTTAAGCAAGAACCCAAGTAAGACAACAATGGCACTTTTTTGCATAAGTTGGGTCTTCTACAAATCAGAGATTAATACTCCTACCATGTCTCTTTCATTACATATGCTTGACATTGTTTGTGGTATCAACACATCTTTTCCATTTCATGCCAAAACACATACTATGCAGGTCCTTTATTGACAAAGAATTGTTGCTTAAATTACTTGCCAATTAATTGAGAATACTCCTTTATCTAAGACAAAAGTTTAAAATAAAATATATATATATTAAAAAAATTAACTCGTCTTATCAACAAGTTGATATATAAAATAGCTACTAGTGTCATTGAACACTGTAAGGAATTTATAACTTGTTACGATGGAATCTCAATGCTAGGCATTCAAATATAACAAAGTCAGTTCTAAATGTGCAACAACATTCAAAGGCCTCTTGTAGGAGGCTAAGAATTCAACCCATCAAATACATCAAATTGCAAGTAATAGTTGCACTTTGGACACTTAGTATCTAATGCTCAAAGTTAGTTTTGTTTAGATTTCCAACTTTGACTTTAAATGAATGAAATGGATTATCAACATTGACAATGTGGTAGTTATAAACTACTTACAATGTTCAAGGCCATTTGTTGTTTTCTTTATTAACTTATTTACAAGACCAGTTAGTTTTTTCAATCTTTTATTTTATTTTATTTTTTCTACTTTTGTCATGGATAGTAGAGCTCTTTCAATCAATTAGCAAGCAGTTTCAACAACAATTCCTTCTTGATTGAAGAGATGCACAATATGTATTTTGGCATAGAAAAAGAAAGACGTATTGATGCCACCAAAAAAGTAAGGCATAGGTAATAAAAGAGACTAGTAGTGGCAACAACATCATTATCTCTGTACAGAACATGGAAGGTCCAACTTGTGCAAAAAAGTGTTGCATCAAAATATATGAGGCACTTGGTTTAGGCCTTGGATTCACCTAAAATGGGAATAAGATCATACTTTCTCAAAATCAAAGGTAGATTTGCAATTATGACAAAAGTGAGGGACATATTTGCTATTATCAAGAATATAAGAATATTCTTAATATTTCAACATATTTCAAGGGTATATATGATATTTTTCCTAAAAAAAAATTGGTGTTTGTCCTAAAAATCCTATGATTTGATGAATTCTTTAATTTTTAAAGAGTGACTATTAACTTCAAACAACTCCCTAATTGACCAAGTTCCAATTGATATGTAATTGGATAATTTTTTTTGTCATATTCATATTCATGATTTTTTGAATATTTGCCATTTGATGTGTGAATCTTTTTGAAATATTTGTCATAAATCACAAACTATAACATTTCAAAAAATTCAGTCAATCACGTATCAAATTTTCACAATATTTGGTATGATATTGTAATGTCATACATATTCTCTCTATGACAGGTTTAATTCTTGTAGGACTCAAAGACCATTTACCTGGCTAAACAGGTATTCTTTCTTGTTTTTCACTACAAAACAATCTACTAAATTACCTGGGTACAAACTCCATCAAACTAACAATCAAAGCACAGGTCTCAACAGCCACGCATCAAACTCACTAACTGGTAGAAGAAACGTGAACGAATTCCAGTAAAATCACATATTGAACAACAAATAAAAGTGGACAGAATCTGGTGAACTTCACAACACCTTTTGCAGTATTAATTGACATCAAAGAGTGCTCAAATGCTAAGCAAACATTGGACATCATTCCTACATCTACATCCTCAACTGGCCAGTAATTTGTTCATCATATCCTGTGGGCATGAGGTGGGTGCAAAAGATGAGCACACAATCAGCTGAAGAAACGGAGTTTGATGCATTCATCAAGTCTAATCAAAAGAATTAACCCAGTTGGGCTCCTACAAAATCTGGTAATCTCACTCTCTCGGATTGTCTATATATATGTATGTATGTATGTATATATATATATATATATATCTATCTGAATATCTTTCTCGGCAAAGCGTCATTACAAGTAGAACCAGGAGTTTAAGTTATGGTGAAGTTATACGTGTATCCTCCACGTTGCAGGATGGGGCATCCAATGAGGTGGAAACAAAGAATTGCTCGATGTTGCATTGCCTTGTTAGGTAATTGAGATAAAGAGTCTTGATAGAAGTTTGCGGTGCAAGAAAAGAAGACCGATGGTGCAGTCTAGAGCAGGCCACTGAACTGAGACGAAATGGTGTTTAAGAAAGTGCCGGTGGCACCAGCAAGTCGTCTGCGACGAAGCCGCTCGGCGATGATGAAGGAGAGCTCCAGAGCTTGGGATGCGTTGAGGCGAGGATCACAGTGAGTGTGGTAACGCGAGCTCAGATCCTCGTAGGTCAAGTTGTTGCCTCCGCCGACGCATTCTGTCACGTTCTGGCCTGTCATCTCGAGATGAACACCCCCGGCGTGAGTACCCTCTTGCTCGTGGACGTCGAAGAAAGCCTTGACCTCCTCGAGGATGGCGTCGAAGGGACGCGTCTTGAGACCCGAGGGAGCCTTGACGGTGTTTCCGTGCATGGGATCACTCACCCAGGTGACAATGCATCCGGCCTGACGCACAGCGCGAACCAGAGCCGGGAACTTCTCCCTCAGCTTGGCGGCGCCCATTCGCACGATCACAGTGAGTCGTCCTGGCTTGTTCTCCGGGTTCAGCATGTTGCAGAGAGTGACCAAGTCTTCGGGATTCATTTTGTCGCTCACCTTCACTCCCAAGGGATTTGCAACGCCACGCAGGAACTCAATGTGGGCCCCGTCAAGCTGGCGAGTGCGCTCACCGATCCATAGCATGTGAGCGGAGCAGACGTACCATAATCCCGAGGTAGAATCCTCTCGGGTGAGGGCTTGCTCGTATGGGAGCAGCAGGCATTCGTGAGAGGTCCAGAATTGAGTGGAGGTCATGATTGGGTGATCCAGGGTGAGCCCGCACGCGGACATGAAGCCCAAAGCCTCGTCGATTCTATGCGCAAGCTCCCGGTACTTGTCACCTTGCTCACTGTTTGCTGCGAAGTCCAAATTCCATTGCGCTGTTCTCTGTATGGCAGCAAATCCTCCCGTGGCGAATGCGCGCAGTAAGTTTAGAGTCGCAGCTGCCTGGCTGTAGGCTCGCACCATGCGCTCTGGATCCGGAATACGAGCCTCCAGGTTTGGCTGATCACCGTTAATGTTGTCGCCTCTGTAGCTGGGGAGTTCCACGCCGTTCACCATTTCAGTGTCGGCCGATCTTGGCTTGGCGAACTGACCTGCCATTCTTCCGACCTTGACCACTGGCATTTGGCCTCCGAACATTAGCACCGCACCCATCTGCAGCAGCACCCGGAACGTGTCCCTGATGTTGTTGGCATTGAACTCTTTGAAGCTCTCCGCGCAGTCTCCGCCTTGTAGCAGGAAAGCTTTACCTAGAGCTGCTTCTCCAAGGCGCTCTTCCAAGCTTCGTGCCTCCCCCGCAAATACGAGTGGGGGTAAGTTGCGAAGTACATTTTCTGTCTCAGCAAGCTTCTCGATGTCTGGGTAGTTTGGCTGCTGCAGAGCAACCTTGTTCCTCCAGCTTTTTGGCGACCAATTCTTATGGCCTGGCGAATTTTCTGTAAAATCGAATAATTTTTCAGAAACAATCACAAAAGAATTGTGCATAGATATTAGCACCCGCTGGCTGATACATAATGACTGGGAGGGAGAGACATATTCGCAAATATTCAAAGCATTTACCTTGATCTGAATTAGACTTCAGAGGCTCCACAGCTTGTATAGCCTTTGCGACGCTTGAATTAGACCCTCCATTTACGAGTGTGGCATTGACTTGCACCGGACGCCTCACGGAAGTGCCTCTGCTGATAGCACTATGGAGACTGGGGTGAGACTGCAATTGTGGGGTGACGAGAACTCGGCTGAGGAGAGTCATCGTGAATTCAAGGGGACAAAGAAGAAGAGGAAGAGGAAGGTTGATTGATTGAAATGATCTGCAGAATTCACAACCATGCACAATCATTAGAACAATTATTTAAACCTGCAGCTCAAGTTCGACTAAACATTAAAATTAACGAAGATAACAAAGCCAACCGTGATTAAGTAATTTAAACAGAAAACCCCGAAGCGATACACGAACAGACATTCGAAATCAAAGGGAAAAACTACGCTGGGATTTCAATTGCAGAATTCGCGGTGCTTGAGAAGCGGGAATTTTGGGCTACGTCTATTTCATAAAAGTAAACGAAGAAATTGAAAAAAACTTGGAGTTACATCAGCAGCGCAACACCCTACCGCTCATTAAATTACTACAAAGTGTAAATCGGGAATGGATACGAAGACTTTAAGACAGACGTTTGATTTCCGTTTAGGGAACTGCACATCGTCGAAGGGGTAAAAAATACACAAATAAAAATAGAATTTAAAAAGAAAAACAATTTGTCGCTCAAGCGATGTGCTGTACTTAAGGTTTTGCGAGTTGGCTCAAAAAAATGTAGAAAATACAACAGACAATAACCCACAGGTCGCTACAAGGGAAGAACCAACGTAGGTAGACTACTACTCTGACCTATTGTCCGAAAATTCGACACTACAGAATGTTCTTGTGTGCGATGGGACAGGGCGATGAGATGACCCAGAGTGACAGACCTTTCGGAGAGCTTCGCTACGTTCTCCGCTCACTACAATCGCAATAATCCTTCCCCCCCCTTACCCAACAAACATTTAAAAAAAAAAAACAAAACAAAACAAAACAAAAGGGCAAACGAAAACCAACATCGCAGGAACCACAAAAGGCCTCTCCACACGGTCCCATATAGATATCGAAATCGCCCTCCTCGTACCTTTTCACTTGACCACACAACCACAACCACAGTCCGAATTCTATCCAAACCTTCCCACACACAAAACACAACGCACGCTGCCCACGACAATGCGGAGCAGCACCTTCACTCACAACACCAGAGCAAGCAAACAAGACCTACAACCAGAAAAGCGCACAAAACCATCCAAACCTAGAACCCACCCGCTTCACATCGGCAGCGAAAAAGCAGAGATCTTGTAGCACAACCACCATCAACCCCCCCAACTCCCAAAATTGCAACACAATTACTACAATCTACAATGCGGACTCAAACTTGCAACAGCACAGAAATAAAACTACACCTTCTCGCACCCACGAACCCTCACCTCTCAGACAAATCTCCGCGCAAAAATGTTAGCAGCCTTGATCCACTGCAGCATGAGGTGTGTGCAAAATGTATGCGAAGACTGTGAGATAAAGAGGCAGCACGCTGGAGGGTCCGAGGCGACCTGAGGGTTGACAGGTGAGCTGCGCCTTGGAATTTACCGCCAAAGTCTCGGTGTTTTTTTCCAAGGTCTTTTGCATTGACCAAAAGTTCTTCGATGCCGCGGGCTTTGAGGGAGGAAAGCCGGTTCAGGTTGGACTTGTGACGAGCTTTACTAAACCGCCGTTGTGAATGGAACGTTGGTCTCCGGCACTGCTCGCCATTCCTTGCCTTCAATTCAGTTGAGTTGAGTCGGGGTTAACGCAATTCAATGTCATGTCACTGTAGTAGTAGTCAAAGCCTACTTCTCCTGCTCCTTCTTCTTCTTCTGGTGCTGCTACAGTCACGAAGCCATGGTGGGCGCCCAGCTCTCAGCCGCGTTGTCGCGACCGAGCTTGCGCAGCGCTTGACCAGCGCCAGCGCTCGTCGTGCGCGACGACGCCCGCGTCCGCTGCCCGTCCTCTTACCTACTCTCCTGCCCGATTTCCTGCCCGCCTGCCTACGGGCATGGCTTCCGAGGATGAGACTTGGGTGGAATGGAGGGGGAGGGGGATTGTTATTCTTGTTTAACTTATTGCATTATTGTGTGGTTAAAGTATCATTTTGAAGTTTAAGGCATAATTACATTGAGAATGAAGATGTTTGCTTGTTGTCAATTATGTTTTTTTTATTTTATTTTATTTTATTTTTTTAATATGTATGTGATAGAATCTTAATAAAAAAAAAAATAGAGTAGTTCATCAAGATCATTTTAGTTAATTAATTTTTTATTATAGAAAATATTGTCTTATTTCAGAGAATAGATTGCCCAAAAGTTCAATTTGGGTTACTTTAAAAATATTTAATCAAATTTATATTTAATGTAAATTATATGTTTCTTAAAACTAATTGATTGTAATTATTTATTATTATATTTTAAATATACTTTATTTTATTTAAAAAATCAATACTTTCATAATTTGTATAGATGCCAATATCAAATAATTTAAATTTATATAGGTCACCAACTTTACACACGTCACGCATTTTTAAACTAGTGATCATTCAATATCTCAATTTTGTTATTCTTTATTTGGCACCTTATAATATTTTTATTTTTATTTTTAACAATTAGTGAGCTTTTTCTAAAAGAAAAAATCAGGGATTCCATTTGTATCTAAAATTTTAAAATAATCATGTGATTTTCACATAATAAAAGCATATGATTATAGTCCATGTGCCTTTGGAATTGAAGGCATGCTATCATTCACTATTTACAATGGCTTCATATCTTAAGGTTACACGCAGTGAAGTCATAGCAATACAAATGCACTCTTGTTTTAGCATCATTCATCACTAACTAACATTAATGAATACACAAATGTTCACAAACATGTAAAGATTTTTACTACAAAGGTTCAACTTCTAGTTCCACCATTCCTTTATTTTTTCAATATTTTAAGAATAGATAAAAATTAAAAATACTATCTCTTGAATAGAATGGAACTTCACATTAATTTTGATTAGATCCACCTCAACTGCAAAATTTAAATCAAAAGTACACATCTTGTATTCATGAAGGTCAAAACTCATACACTATCACATATTCCATTGTCATACCATTGTTTTTGTCTTTTTTTCTTTTACCTTTGTTTACAAACTTGAGTATTAATATTGATAAACTTATTCCTTGAAAATGCTTTTCATACTTTTGACAAGTAACCAACTATAAAATAAAAATAGAAATGTGATTTTTGCATATTCATTTTATAGTCATTTTATTTTATTTAAAAAAACATCAGATCGTTTGATGTCCAATGTAAATCCGTCTCACAAAACAAGCTTTTTAAATATCACGGACATTGAAAAAGAAAAGATAAAATGAGTAAAAAGCAAAAAGAAATGCAGATAAGATTAGTGGCAGATTTGAGTTCTTTTCCATAATTTTATTTTATTTTACTTTTTTACTTTTTTTTCATGGAAATTTGCTATTTCATGTGCATTTCAAAACAAAAATTAATTGCAGTTGATTCTAAAGTCTTTTTAGAAGAAAAAGAAAAGAAAAGACTTTAGAATCTACAATTAGTTGTCAAGGATATGAATCTTAACGGATTAAAAGATCAATATACTCTTATATCACTCAAAAAGACTAAAAAATCACTCAAAGTTGATATAATATTAAATTGAAATGGCTATTGCTGAAGGTAAGAAGTCTAAAAAGTTTTGAAACAAGACTAAAGACTAAAAATGCATTAATAAGAGTAAAGAAGGCTTCACTCTTGCTTCTATATATACTATCTAATTAAAAGCTATATGTCAAAGTTCTATAGGACCTCCAACATGTGTCCAACTTACAAAACACATGTTGTAACTTACAAGACAAGTTTTTTACATGTGTGCTACATAATTAGCTTATATTACAAGTTACTAATATGTGTGACACGTGGCTAAATTGTTGGCCAAGTTTCTAAACTATCAATTAATTATAAATATATATAAAGTCAAAGTCACATCCATGGAGCTTTCAAGAAGATTTTATGTAAGATATTATTAAATTTAGTTACTTTAATCTATTTTAAACTTCTTTCTATTCATATTATTTAAATAATTATTAGAATAAATGTATATATATATATATATTTGTAGTATTAGCTTGCTATTTTTATAGTTATAAGATAAAAATATATTTATATATTTTCAATAATTAGAAATTATATTTGAAGAGATATTATTCTATATTATCTTAATTCATTTCATTACTTGAAGTTGAATCACTGTATAGATGTTGGTGCATGATTTAGCATCTTCCTTGCAATCAATAGCATGTTGGAGATAAAAGTTCATATTGCACCTTTTCAAACAAGCAATAATTCCTACATTTGAAGGTTGTATTTTGAAGTAGCATTTGGAATTAAGAAGAAAATTTCAACATTTTTAAGAATAGCATTTTCAAGTATGTATAATAGTATATTATCTAGAATGAGAAGAATACTACAATTGATAGCTTTCATTTTTAAATTAATATGTTTAAGTTATTTTTAATAAAAAAACTCTAGTTATCTATTTTTTATTTTAAAAATAATAGAATCTAAGCTCAATATTAGTCTTCTTAATGAAGCACTTTAATTTTTTTTGCATAGTGGATGGAAAGAGAATCTAGGTCATGTTCGCCATTAATATTTTTGGTCATGGCTAAAAACAATTAAATTTTATTTTTTTGATTTATTTATTTATTTATTTATTTACTTCATTAATTTTTTTGAGAAACAATAGTATGATTTGGAGTCACAAAGTAAAACACTTATGTTTCGTCTATATTATAAATATCACTCAAAATACACTTATTGATTTTATGCTTAATTCTTAGGAAGTTGTTAGTTATTGCATGGACATTTATTAAAGTGGCTTTTTTGTATATAAAAAATGATATAAGTCATGACAATCTTGAAAGAATTCAATTCATTTTTTGAAAATTCTAATTATTTTTCTTTAAAAATATTAAATTGCTTGGTAAATATTTTGGCTTTGGCTTGAATAAAAGGACTAGAGAAGCAAATTTCTTTATGCATGTATTATAGCATGTAGTTTGCTGGAGCATTATCTGGCTCTAAGTGGTTCATTATGCACGATCGCTTTACTTTTAAGTCCTACATAGTCAAATCAACATACTCATTTTTTCTCTTAAGAATTTCAAAAATAGTGCTTTAAAGGGATGCTTTTGCAAGTTTAAATTCATCTTTGGGCAAAATTGTCAATTGCTTTTGTAACATTGATGGTATACTAACAAACTTTGTGCATATTGCCTTCTTTTATTCATTCCAAAGGATGATAAAGACAAGGTGTTTTTTCCAAGTAAGGTATTTTGTAATGTATTGTAACAACAAAGAGCTACAAGAGTGTTTATTTGAAAATAAGAGTGTATATATAAGAATACAAGTTTTACAAGACATTAACAATGAGAATAATGTTTTCTTGTTTGTTTGGTGAAGTGTGTAAGAAAGCACATTATTTTTGAAGTATTTTTTTTAGCATATTCTTGCAAGTCTCTATACCATGCAAAATATTGCATCCATAAAAATACTACATATTATATGATTGAACAAGAAAAAATGGTGAATGAATGTCATAAATGAGGTTCAAAAAGACTTTGTTAAGCCACTGAAACGGATTTGAATTCTCTTAAAGATCTAAAATCCTTATAATCTATACCAACATAAATTCCATAACAAAGTAGGAAAAAATGAACCAAAATAAAACTGAATAGAATTAAACAAAATAGAACATAAAAGATAAAACACAACAATTCAAAATAGAACAAAATAAAATAAAAAATTTAAACAAAACTTTATTGAGAGAAAGCGACCAAAGCCATACTTGACCGAATGCCTCAAATAGCCTTGGTCAATCTTATTTATACTTTCTCCAAATATCTTGGAATTTTTTAGAATGTCCCTAATAGTGGCTTTACTTTAGTAAGTACCCTTAATTCTTCTAGGATGTTGTATAATGAGCCCTATATGAACCACCAACCTAGCTCCAATTCTAAAAACTTCTAAAAAATGGTTCCAATTATCTATTTCTATGTATCAATAATAGAATTTATTTTATTCATGTACTGTTATAATTAATCTTCCTCTAATAATATAAAATGTCGTTGTTTTATTCTCAATGGTACCTCAAAATTGTTTCTTGACTATGGATGAGGTTCTATACAAGTTTCTATATTGCATTGTAGATAAGATAGCCTTTCTAAAGGACTTGGTATTGAAGTTGCAAACGTCCATTGCAAAAGGTAGCGATGCTCCAAAATACTGTCTATTTCATACTCTTTTTGGTCATCAATCACAATTGATAGTGGTGGTAGTTGTTGTCGGTCCAAGAAGTACCTTGGTTCAATATGAAATTCATTGACCTACAAAACATGGAAGACCAAATGGATCCAAATATATGGCAAAAACTTGAGATGATATGAAATATTAGAAATCATTGCAAAAATACAAAATGGTCTAAGCCACCAAAATGCGAGCTTATGGACTTAGGTTGATGTAACAAGTGGAAAGTTGACACTAGAGAATAATATCTAATCACTCTCTTGGAAGATCTTATATTATTAATAGTTATCTGTATATGACTTTTATCAATTATATCTAATAAAGAAGGAGTACCATGCTTCTTATAAGATAGTTATAAGTCATTGTATAAATTCTCTCATTATTGGATTGTTGCTATTGATAGAACAATAAAGAATTGCTAGCATAATTGAATGTTGATTGGTATTAA